AATATCTTAATTATGGACTAAATGGTTATGCATCCCAACAGGTACAGGGGTGTTATACATGAAAGCAAGGATTCAGAAAGCAAATTATCAGAAAGCAAAGTTTTGATTTAGAACAGCAGGTACAGGGGTGTTATATTACAGCAGGTTATATGGCTACTGTAGAAACTGAAAGCAAGGATTCARAAAGCAAATTATCAGAAACCATGATGCTTATGTTGTCCAATTAAATTGATGGAGCTATTCTAAAGATGTGTTTATACCTGATGAAGAAACAGCTGATGTTGAAACTGTAAGCACACAAACACAACCAGACTTTGTCTTGAAACTGTAAGCACACAAACACAACCAGTAAGAACAAAACAGTATAATACATTTTGGCCAATCCAAAAGATGTGTGTTGTGTGATGGTAAATTCATAACAAACAATAGACCATTAAAAATATAATAAAAAATAAAATAAAAATATGATTAAAAAACAGAACAGAGTTGAAATGAAGATGATCATGATCTGCTGATTATCGCAACAACAGAGAAGAAGAATTAGCCCTCAGGATTGTGGAGGGCTCAAATCACCAGTTCTAATCTTACTGTTTTTGTTTGTGGCCAGATGTGTGTGTGTATAAGTTGAAATGGACATATAAATGAAATCATCCAATATTGAAAACTCAGTTGCAAATAAGATGAAATGGAAACAGACCCATAAATGAAATCCAAAAACGACATTAAGAACCTGAGTTTTGAAGAACATGTAAACCAAATCAATACCTCAAAGAAATTGCTAGGGTTTTGAAGAACCTGTGGAGAAATCAAAGCCTCAAACTTCTGGTTATATGCACATATGAGATTGTCTTGGGAGCTGGCCATTTCTGCAAAGGTTGTAGCAATTGAAGAAAACAAAGGGCTGACCTTACTAATTGGGAAGAAGCGCAGAGGAGGAATCATGAAAAGGAAGAAGGCACAGAGGAGGAAGCTAGAAAAGAGGAGGAAGCTGGAAAAGGAAAGAAGAACAGAAAAARRCCCATTTTGACCTTACCCATTTTTGGCGGAAGAGATTGTCTCTGGAAAAGGTAGAGAGAAAAACAAGGTTAAACTCAATGCATAAAACACTTGTACATTGTGCTTTGTGACTTGTTTTTAAGAATTTTTTGAAAATCATGCATAAAATGGTTGTAACTTGTGTTTAAAGAGTTGTATTTAAGACTTTGTCTTAAATGCTTATATATGTAGTATAGATATATGACAAGAATCTATTTGTTAAAAAAATAGTGTGTTTAAATTAAACATTGAAAATATTATTTAAGAAACCTTGTGTTCTCGACTGTCTGAAACTTAAATCCCAACTGATTTCAATCGATCTTGTCCATCGTTTCGTGCTCTTCAAAGCGGCAAACTTGATCGATTCCTACCAATTATGGAGGTAAACGCATCATCTTCGGCAGATATCGTTGTCGATGAATTCAACAAGACAAAGAAAGATTGGGACGATGCATATCTTCAAACCCTAACTTACATTCGAGCCATCGAAGAATTCGGGAAATCAAGATCCATTGGTGACGCAGTCGCCGTTAATAACAAGAAAGATTCGTTGCCCAGATTGAACGGCCTTGCTCAAGATGGACTGTCTTTGCTGTCCACTGCACAATTCAACCTTGATCTTTTGGTTCCACAACTTCCCACAGATGATCATATTCAAAATGCAGAATTGACTCTTCAGTCATGGAACGAACAAATTCAAAGGTTCGTATGCAAAATCGATATCATTTTCAGTGCAATTAAATAGTTATTTAGGTTTTAGTCTCCTGAGTGAAAGCCTAATCGGAGTCTTTGATGTTGGTATGAAAGCAATATCAAAAGTGCTGATATCCCTAATTATTGTTTTCCTGTTGGGTTTCAGCATTTACATTGTCCATGTTTAGATGCTTCTTGAAATGTGAAAGTATTACATTTGTCATGTTAGTTGCATCGTGTTGCCAAGGAGAATGTTCGAATTACAAGGCCATATATGGGATCCTTCCTTTTTAATCCTAAAAAGCGTTATCCTTTGAGGTGGGTCTCGGAGGGTTAGATGTATGCAGACTTGAACTCTACCCCAACAATTATTTGCACGAAATAAGGACTTCTTTGGTGTTGTTCTTTTGATCATCACAAGAACAAGCATTATACATGTAAGGTGGATTGTGCTTGATTACGATTTTGCACTTCACTGGGAGACGAATTAAACGTTCTCACCTTGCTATTTTAAGAAAGGTCACAAATCCGGAGATCAGAAAACATTAAGCTCTAGTAAACGGCGAGCTATTATAACTTTTCTTGATTTTCATCATCTTTGGGAGCGTTATAGAATTTGACACGATTAATAGTCTATATTATGTGCTTGTACTAATTTTTTTTACCCCTGTTGACCAGTCTTCTGGGCCATTACTTTAGTTTCTTCCATTTTTACATATTTCTAATATTAGTGTAAATCCATCTTGATGTTTGTTTCTCATCTGAACCATAGACTATTTAGCTACAACTTCTATATAGATGTTTTTATGATGGCACAAGTTCAATGAATGTTTTTTTTTTTCTCATTTTCTCATCCCTTATTAGTCTGCGGGCAAGTCTGAGAAATGCTAATCTTCAAGCAAAGGCGAACATGAGGAAAGCTGCCCAAGAAGAGGTAATGTTACCAAATTGTGAACTTTTACTCCATCTAGATATCTTTACTTTCCTTCTTTATGGAAGTTTTGCATCATGCTTTCGACAATGATGTTTGTGGAAACAGCTACTCTACCCTTCGTGGTAGTGTACAGTTTTACATCCCCCCACCAAACTCTGCATACGAGTGGGTAATACTGGGTTCGTTTGGTTCTGTACTTTTGACAATGCTTCTGCGTGGGGCTACTAAATGTGAAGATAATTTATGATTTTACAGCATGAGACATGATTGGTGATCAATATCAACTTTTTTTCAAGTTTGAGATAATGCTATGAAAAGTAGCATTGTGAATTTATCGATCTTACATATGTTATCAGAGGGAGCTTCTCTTAGGAGGTGGAGAAGAGTCCACAGTTCGAAGGCGCAATTTACAGTATGTATCACTATTCGTTTCATGGATACAGTACTCTAGTTCTTTCTGTATGTATCGTATGTATATACTGTATAATGCAGTATATTGCAGCATAGATGGATTGTTTTAGAAAGAAAGGGTACTTAAAATGAGTTAAAAAATTACCATTAGGACAAAAGCCGGAATGACATCTGCAGCAGAGAGCATTACAGAGAGCCTTCGTCGTACACGCCAGCTGATGGTTCAGGTTATTGCTCTTAGACATTTTATCTGTGTGCTATTTTTTTTTATTGAAAATACTTTTCGTTTTGCCTTTCAAACATGGTATGCACTATGACGTCCTGATTAGGTAATTGTTTACAGGAGGTTGAACGGAGCGGAAGCACACTCATGGCTTTTGGTTCGTCTTTTCATCTTAATATTTCATTTTCTTTTCTTTTTGTGGTTGTCATCCTAAAGACGTTGGCATGATTTTCTTGTGGCGTTATTGTATAGTTATGTATCTGTGTGTTCATAACATAGATTAGACTTATAGATCAATATCATTTTTGACAAAAAAAAAAACACGTGAGAAAAAGGAAGGATGGTCTCTCTGTCTATCTGATTGAAAAGGTCTGCCACCACCAAGATGGCTGTGGACTTGGGTTACAGGCCTTATTATATACGTATTTTTTACTGTCATATACAAAATACATAACCTTGAGGACCAGCTCAACTGGCAAATAAAGTCTAGGCCTTGGGGCTCCTCCCAATAGGGCAGTTCGAGTCTTCTCAGGGCCACTAGAGTTTTCCTGAATGCTATCTTCAGGGTCCCATGGGATTACTAAGGTGCGCACAAGCTGGCCTGGACACCCACGGTTACCTACACATATATATGTATGTATGTATACACACACACACATATAACAATACGTTTGTTGTGGATAAGAAAAGAACTCTGTAGTATGCACTGTTCTTGCACAAATCTTGATTCCTATCAGCAGTTTAAATGGTGTTGCTAATTTTTGATAAAGAAACTTGTTTTTATGTAATGCAGAGGAATCAACAGGAGTTTTGAAGAAAGCAGAAAGCGAATACAAGGGTCATCGATCATTACTGATGCGAACTCGTAACTTGCTTTCAACAATGAAGCGCCAAGATGTTCTTGACAGGTTAGAGAAATCATTAGATTTGTAGGAGTCCACATTGGCTAGACTTGGACCATTTCTCCTCAACATATAACCTTCCTTAGTAATCTACTGGGGTTCCACATTCTCAGTTGATATCATAGCCAAGATCTACCCTTCTAGGTACTCGACACTCTGGCCGAAATTTGTACCAGTTTAGCTCCCTCTCGACACTTTGGGACAATCTGTGTCTGACAAGCCTTTGTTGGAGCCCCACATTGGCTTGAATTGGACCATTTCTTTTTAATATGTGATGAAACCTCCTCCTCTCCTAAAGGGCTCTCTTGGAGAGTAATCTAATGGGGTTTTACATATTCTCACACGACTATTATTTCCTCTTCGTGATTAATCTTTTAAGTTAACATTTATGTGAACAGGATTATACTTGTTGTGGGATTCCTCGTATTCTCGTTAGCTGTTCTTTACGTTGTGTCAAAGCGAATTGGAATACTCAAGTTGCAAAGAAAGGTTATAGGTGCTATCAAAGCTGGTATGGCTGGAGAAGCAGAAGCCGCTAAGCGCGCTGGTGTAGATGCTATAAACCACATTGCTCAGGTCAATGAACTTGCTTTTCCGAATGATTTAGAACAACCAATGCATGATGAACTTTGAATCACATATGAAAAGTTTATAGCATGTATATTTCTGTACACAATAGGCTGCTTTTGCCTTCAGTTCACCAGCTTTTAATATTTTTGATCCATGCAATTGTTCATGTTCTTATCTGGCTTGTTTTACATGCTAGGCCATGCTTGGCAACCTTATATATTATATGTTCCCGGTTAATTTTTAACATGTTCTTTTAGGTCATTTTACATTGCGTTTAGTTTATCAGCTAGTTTTTCCAAACATTACTAGCCTATCGGGCTAACATTTAGCTTATTAGTCAATAACTAGCTTTTCAGCTAATAGTTGCTCTTTTTTAGTCTCAACCTCTTAAGGTCAAACATAGCATTTTTATGAGTGCAAATTGATGTAGACATTTTTGAGAATTTAACACCGAGGAGTTTCCATCAATTCAGGAGAAATTTGTGAATGCCATAGCAATCAAGCTGGATTTATATAATTTAATGACAAAATGCAATGAAGTTTGCTTTTTTAGTGTGACAAAGAATATTTTTTCCCATCGATATAATGAAGTTTCAAAATTTAGTATGTTGTATCTACTTTGACCGGTAACTTGTTAATCTTGTAACATATAATGTCAAAGATGCCGAATTGTCAATCAGTATATTTTTCACTAGGATGGTCTACCATTACATTTTCTTCAATCAATACAACTTGACAACTTGACATCTACACCGTCAAATATTATAAGATCAACAGGTTTACAGTCAAAATGGATACAAAATAGGAAATTTTGAAACTTTGTTACATTGATTGAGAACAACAATCTTTGGTTACAGGGTAAAAGATGATGTCTTTACCAACAATCTTACTGTGTCATTTTGCTAACTGAGAATCATACCGGACAAGTGAGGGTGGTGACTCTTACGTGGTTAGTGCTTACCAGTTAAGAGACGCTTATACTATCTTATTTTAATGATCAAGAATCTTACCTGGTACGGTAAGTGAGGGTGATGATTCTTATCCAGTAAAAGCTTACAGTGTTTGTATGGGTAAACGGTCCCTAAACAAACTTCGTTGTATTTTGATGCATTTTACCATGTTATCTAGTGCAATGAAAAGGAGGGGAAGTGCAAAAGAGGAACCAATGACCATGAGGGTTAACTTTAAGATTGAAACATGAAGTTTTAGATGCATAAGATCCAATCTAATAAGCAAGGAGTTTCTATGCCAAGAGCCAATAATTTCTCTGAGATTTTGTATGGAGAAGGTAGCCTCCATTTTGGCTCTTTCTCTGCACTGCAACACAGGTGCATTTGCTGTTCTCCAACAAATACTCTGCTGTTTCTCCTCTTACTAACCCATTCATCCTCTGCCTGCAACCAAAATTTTACCAACAAATCAGTTTCAATTTGTTTTGGCTGTTTTATTGGGTCTATTTATGGTGGCAAAAGAGATTCAGATGTGGTCTTGGGTACCATTTAGGCCATAAGCTAGCTTCTTCTGTGTGCTTATTAAAAAACCCGGTTTGATAAGCTATAAACTAGTTTACAAGTTAGCTTTTTAAAAAGTTACTATAGGTAACATTTTAACAAGTTCCGCAGGCTACTTTTTCACTCTCTTTTTCAGTTATTGGGCCTCTTATATTTTACATAATGACCAAAAGTCTTATTTAACTTTACACTGTCATCTAACCTATTAGCTAGTTTTTACCAAATGTGATTAGTTTATCAGCTAGTTTGCCACATACAGCCTTAAAGAGAATCTAGATTATAAGATGGAAAATGGCAATGAAGCTAAACCGCATATGGTCTGGTTGGATTGATAACGTTTTAAGCTTTGATTTCCTTTTCATGGAAATTAGATCTTTCAGTAACATTATCAATTCAAGAAGAACATCAGGAGGCAATGCTTCTTTTGTCCAAAAGAGGCACAGTTTGACTTTTGGGGTCAACCTAGTAAATTTTGATTTTGAAAATGATATCGATTCTCAATTTCGTTAGGAAAATCGTGGTAGCCATCTTAAACTTGTGTCAATTCTTAAGACGTGAACAGGTTGGTTTCCCAATTTGTCACCAAATTCCATGAATGCCCATGGAATGTACTTTTTTTAGTTTGACCTCTTAAAAGTCAAACTATGGAAAATAGGACAATAAGAATAAGGAACTCACCTTAATATTGCATTAGATAGACTCTGACGTTTTCCTACAACAAGAAGATCAATTCCATGCATTTGGGCTTGTGAAATGATCACATTTGCCTTCTCCTTCCCATCCAATTCAACCTTTAACACCTTCACCCTGAGCTTTGGGTTCATAACTTCGCACGCCTGCTTCATTTGCTCAAGAAAGTCTATATTTCCGCCAATGCAACCAGTTATACCAATACCACCATGGCCAACACCCCCTTGCCTGGGGGCAGGGGCCGGTGGGGGGGCAGGGATGGTTGAAGATCCCGGTGTTTGTTTCTTGAAATATAAAAGACCATTCTTCCAAAAGGTAGGGCTTTCAACATGAAGAAGATACAATGTGTCATTCTCGAGTCCTACGTGAGATAGAACATAGCGGAGAGCAGATGATGATTCGCGGGTTGGGTCTGCTACGACCATAACCTTCCTCTGTCCCGTCGCCTTACTACCACCACCGATTGCCATGTCTAACGTCATTTCCACCACCTGTCACCAGACCACCGCTATCTTGGGACGGGAAGATGGTGGGACGGAAGATGGTGGATGATACGATCTCTGGTTGTTAATCATGTTTGATTTCTTGTGTTATGTCAAAAAGGAGAGCCATTAAACTTAGGCCATTATTTGTGATCAAAAGCTTATTTTGCTTTAAGGCACTAAATTTAGGGGATTTTTTTTATAAAACCAAGTCAAAGTTTTCTATATATATATATATATATATATATATATATATATATATATATCCTAAATTGATAGATATATTTTAACTCACATCCTCTTTTTATGGCTATATTTGAAAAATTAGCTGATAAGCTACCTGTTTGTTATATTTGATTAATTAGTTATAAACTATTGACTGATATAATAATTATATTTGGTAAAAACTAGCTGATAATCTAAATGAAAATGTAAAATGACTTAAAGTAGAATTTGTAGCTTTTTGAGGACTCAGACAACGACACTTGAAAGACGAAACTTTTCTCGTCTGTCTATTAACATACTTTTATGGGAGTTGAAGACATACAAGTTATCCTGAGAAAGAGACGGAACATTTGAGAATTTCACTTTTATGAGAAGGTGAAAAACATAGGAATGCATCCTTGTAATATATCAATGAGAGTTATTTGTTTACTTCTTAATAGTTTCATTAAGAGACAATATCTGAATTGTTAAAAGGTAAATCTTGTTTGGCAAAAAAAGTTTGTCTCTTAATGGTTCCAAAACCCTCTGAATGATTTTGTATTTTGGGTCTCCCTTAACCATTAAGATCCCTAATTTCATCGTAAACAATTACCAAACAATTATATTTTATTTTGCATTATATCATGAGAGCCTTTTAATCATTCTGACCACTTAATGATACTGCACAAAACCATTCAGCAACTGCCAAACAACCCTTTACATTATATTATGTGAATATTGTAACTTTCACATTTCTCACGACAAATATTCACACAATATAAAGATATAGTCACTTTGTTTCCACGAAAAAGGCTTGGTCTCGTTGAAATGCAACCCATCTTGAGAATATGTCAAATAAACCAGTTTTGGTTTTGGCTTCATCATTATATTATCCCTAAAAGTGCTGGTTTGCTAAAGTAACTAAAACATATCTAGAAATCATGTTCGGAAGCAGGATACGGTAAGATGTATGTAGACCATATATTCATCAAATGAAAGTCAGAGTCGGGCAAAATGATGAAAATTAGGACTAGTATTTTTTTTGATTAACCTGGATATCATACCAGGGCGCCTGCTTTGCAGATAGCCTAGAGTCACCGTATTTGAACCTCCGTGGCCATAAGGGGATTTTTATTCCTACTTGGATTTGAACCTGGAACCTCCTAGTACTTTTGACCTTTGGAGCGTGACTAGTATTTACTGCCATGGTGAGAGGCAGGGGCGGAAAAGAAAAGATAAGTCTATTCAAGAATAAACAAAAACCATTCAGTATTGACTCTTATTTGTTCATTTAAAGTTTGGGTAGAAAAACCACTCCGAAATCGTAAAAAAAAAAAAAAAAATCAAAATCGGAGCTTTAAAACTAAAATATGAGATATAAAGATACTAAGGTTCGATAAGGACCGACAAACGAAGCTAAGCATATATAGAATTCAAATTTTGGTTGGATATTTTATTTCCAATCGTCGATAAATCGAGATTTTTGACCTCGAGCTTCAACCTCCGATTCAAGTAGCTATCACTCATGGAATTATTGAAGTGGGCTTGATTACTGACATGGTAATTAAGGATGCGACTACTAATATTTTTTATACAAATAAGAAATTAACATATAATATAAAATAATTAAATGTTATATGTTCATTTCCTGAACGATTTTTTACAGTGAGCGATAGCTGCTTGAATCGAATGATCTTTCGAGTAAAACGAATTCCTCCGTTCTTCAGGAGCATTCTGAAAATCAGGACCATGCACCGGGGAGGATTTGATCGAGACCGGACAACTTTTACTACCTGTTCTTTTTGATCTTCGAGTCGTTGTAATCGTCTTGATAACGACATCAAACATCTTCCTAAAACCATCAAAATTCATCGTTTTCGATGGTTTCTCCTCCTTCAAATTCGGGTTTTTAGTGCAAGTGTTGGAGGCCATATAACCAGGGTCTCTTAGATTTGAAGTACTTTTGGTGGTGTTTTTATCGATTGGCGGCGGCGGTTGCAGACGCATCGACGAAGGTAATCTGCACTTGATTGATCGGAGTTTCAGCAACAGCTTTCTTATGCCGGTCAACCTCCCTGAACTCCTTTGAAAATATATGAAAAAGAAGAAGTATTATTTAAATTAAAAAAAAATATTGCATAAAAAATTAAAATATGAAGAAAAAAGTTTTGATTTTTTTTAATCAAAAAAAGTTTTACCTGTTCTTTATGAGTTCCCGTTGATTTGTACCAGATGTTCGTAACCGAGTTTCTTGTTGGGCTCTGATGGAAGTCCGGAGAACGTACGGTGAGATGAAGGCTCGATGACACCGTGGACTACTTGCTCTCTGAAATATGTGTCTGTAATTGATTGAATTGCTAATTTTGTTCTGATTGTTGTGTTTTATATGAACAACGTCAACCGTTTGAGAGGCGGCAATGGTAGGCGGCTTGCGGTGGTTGGAGGTGGAGATAGGGGTGGTGGGGTGGGGGGAGGAAGAATTAAAAGAGAAGCAAAACTCAAATTCCTCTTCCTTTGTATCATCGTGATTGGTTTCAGTGATGGTCAATGATGGTGGTGGTGACGGCGACAACAACGGTGGTAGAGATATTTCAAAGTAGTCGTTTTGTTGATGGCTAGAAACACGACCACCATCAGCACCACCATATTCGTCATCAGCGAAAAGTCTGGTTTCTGAAGAGATAGAATCGAAGGAGAAACTTTGTTGATTTTGCAAGCATTTCATGGTTGTTAAACTCACCCAAAACATACCAATACTAATTTTATAAGTATGTTGAATGATTTGAAGGAATAAAATACACTATTCATTTAACAATAATTTGTACAAAAATATAATATGATTCTTATTTTATACAATATACGTTTTATTTTTATAAAATTTATATATTTAAATGTCACATTTAAGATATTAAAATGAAGATTTCTATGAACCTGTTATACAAAATAAAAATCAGATTAAAATGTATATATTTTCATACGATTAATCTTGTATTCAGATGTAAATTAATGAGTTGTTTTTAACGTTTAAATATTCGATATATATATATATATATTTATTTATTTATTATAATATTTAATTAATTTGATGAATAAATGTAAATTAATGGGAGAAAAAACAAAATCACGAAATGAATGTAACCTTCCAACCCGGCCTTTCTCATATATTTATTAGATTATAAATTATAAATCCAAATCTTGTCTTCAAGTTGTATTTATTTATATGATTTGTGTCTAAGAATCTTTTTATTGATTATTAGTATGTACTTGAAACTAAGACACATGTCACATGTAGCAAGGTTCTCAAGTTTCCAATAAACTACCCTTTACTTCTTTATGATATGTATAATTATCAGGAGGTGTCAGGTTCAAATCCAAGAAAGAATAAAAATCTTCTTGTGGCCACGGAAGTTCAAATGCGGTGACTCTGGGCTATCTGTAAAGCAAGTAGTCGCCTTGAAATTAGTCGGCTCACATAGCGGGTTGAATATCCAGGTTAATAAAAAAATTGCAGATTTATAAACAGTCACAATGGTATAAATGAACTATAGGGATGCTATCTGTAAGAATATGTAAACCACAATTGTCAACGTAGTAAACAAACGAAAGAGATGTAGTCTGTAGTATTTTACATATAACGTACTCTTTCCAATATGTGATAATGTTTCTAGATTTTCTTCCCTTTTTGCTTGGTTTAGATTGTCAACGTGCATAGACAACTTTATTTTATATGCATCTACAAACAAGACTAGAAAATGCAGTAATATCATGTAGACAAGCTTTGACATAGCATCACCTGTCGTCAGTCAATACTGAAGTCGAAAATAATGGCAAACATGTTCTGTAAGATCACAAACAACACACCAAGCAAGTATTCGAGAGTTTTGCTTGATCATACCTCAAGATGGATGCATTCAACCAACTCCATCCTGAACAAATACAATTGACGGATTTTCATGCAACAAGGAAAAAGACCGCAAACCCTCCAACGTGTCAATAAGTAACAGTCGAAAACTTGAGTTAATCAAGTCAAATGAGCAAGGCTCCCAACGACACCGCGTGTACACCAAATTTTCTTCTCTAACAAAATTTTATCTCACTTATTTTGAGAATTTTGTTATTATTATAACTAGTTATGTAACTACGCAATACAAATAGGTATAAATTTTGTATAAATGTAAGCGAGAATACATATTACAACTGATTAGCACATGCATTCAGAATTGTCATACTTAGAGCTTTAATGATTGTCTTGACAAAACCAAGCGAAATGGAAAACAATTTTTTTCTTTTCTGTTTGAATATAAACATGTTATATTTGGACGAATATAATCGGCATGTTAACCAATGAAACTCATCTAAAATTAATCAACTATCCAAACTATAAAACATCGACCACCAAAACATCATCAAGATGTAAAATTTTGTTGTAAATCACAATTTTAATGAAGCAACCAAAATATTTGGATAAAAAGACATGATTGTTACTATGATCCATGTACTTTTATACTTTTCTAACAAATATGAACCACTCTTAAGGGGCCGTTTACCAAACGCTTATCCGGGTAAGCGCTTACCAAGTCATGTTACGTCATTGGATGAATATGGTAAGGAATCAAGAATCTTACCCGGTAAGAGCGAGACAAGGATCAAAAGTCTTACCCGGTAAGAACGAGACAAGGACCAAGAGTCTTATCCGGTAAGTGAGAGCAACGACTCTTATCACGGTAAGCGCTTACCGGGTAAATTGTTGCATACGATATCGTTTTGATGGACTAAAATCTTACCCGAT